TGTTGTGAGCCTATTTACATTAGCTCTCCACTTGGGGAGAGGATTTGAGTTTGCTGCCACTTTAAATCCAATTCTAGATATATTCATTGTGCCAAGAAAAAAAGTCCAAGGCAGGAACAGAAATGTCATTTAATGTTAATTAAACCTACTGGCTGCTCATGCTGATAAAATTTAATGTTTTCACTTGTCAGAGATATTAAAAATCAGAACAAGCATTACCTGCTGACTTTAATTCTGATGTCTTCATGAAAGCCCCAATGTTGTTATTGTTAACTTTAAATAATAATAACTAAGGGAAAATGGGTAATCTCCCTAAAGGGAGATTTCTCTCCCTCTCTTTCTTTTAAGATTTTATTTATTTATTTGAGAGAGAGAGAGAGAGAGAGAGAGGGAGAGAGCATGAGCAGGGGGAGGGGCAGTGGAAGAAGGAGAAGGACAAGCAGACTCCCCACTGAGTGGGGAGCCTGACAGTCACGAGGCTTGATCCCAGGACCCCAAGGCTATGACCTGAGCCAGAGTCAGAGGTTACTTAACAGATTGAGCCACCGAGGCACCCCCTAAAGGGAGATTTCTTAAAATGAATGCAATGCACATGTTTTATGGAAATATCTGTGCCATAAATGTCGATGTCTTCATGGTAGTAAAGATACTTGTTTCATACTTATGGCTAAAATTCACACACATACCCCCCCTTTTTTTGATCTTGGAATGGACCTCTTTTAATGTGCTTTGTTTTAAAAATAATTTTATAGCAGGGTAATGGTGAAATAAAAATATATAACAAATTCTTTTGAAAGTTCCTCAGGTAAAACATATTTAGAATTTATTCCTATCTCTGATTTTTTTCTACATGACAGCATTTTAGACCTGGAACAGTAAATTCTTATTTCTTTCTCAATGTCTTCCCTTTTATACAAATGAGAAACCCAGATACTTTGCTTATTCAAGCATATTGTGGAAGAACCAGTTGAGTCTCCACGAGAAATGATTTTCATACACCGCCACTGGAGAACACTACGAGACACGAAACCTCTGCCCTCTTTTTTGGTTATTTTCTTTTTCAAATTCATGCTGGACATGGGGCTTGGCTTAGCTGAACATTGAAGTTTGGCTGTTTTATCACAAAATCAGGGTTTTTTTTCCTCTTCTCAGCCCACTAGTAATTATCAACTTCAATAAATTATAGGCATTTTGTATTGCTAATGATCAGAGCTGTAGTTATTGTAGATAGAAACCAGAGAGAGATCATCTGAATTCAAGAACAAAGAGACATTTAAATGGCATAAGGGCCCAAATAATACCAAATTATGGGAAAATATGCAACCCTCTCCCCTTTATTTATTTATTTTTAAAATATTATTCTTCTCTGTCCTATGTACTAGTTGGCAGAAAGCCGTGGTATGAATATTATGTAGATCAACAGGAAAAACAACCAAGCCAATCTCTTGGAATGAGGTTAGCCTTGATAGGTCGGGGATTAACCCCAGGAGCTGCGAAGCTTCTGCTGATTTCTGGTTTGGTTTTCTTTTTTTGTTGTTGTTGTTTAGATTTTATTTATTTATTTGACAGAGAGATAGAGCCAGAGAGCACAAGTGGAAGGAATGGCAGAGGGAGAAGGAGAAGCAGGCTCTGCGCTAAGCAGGGAACCCAACGCGGGTCTCAATCTCAGGACCCTGGGATCATGACCTGAACCAAAGGCAGATGCTTAACCATCTTAGCCACCCAGGCATGCCTGGTTTGGTTTTTTTTGTTTTTTTTTTTTCCTCTCTTGGTGTTTATTAGTTCTAAAGGCCAGGCTTTCTCCCAGGGGAGGCTGAAGGGGCTCATATCTTTTGGGCTCCATGGACAGGGCAGTTCACGTGCTCGGGGGAGGCCAGGTAGGCCTTGAGCTTGGGCCGGGCACTGAGGCGCGCCACATAGGCCCATAGGCCAAGAGCAGGGGGTGGGAGTCCAAGCAGCCAGGGGCCAGGACCTGGTGATTCAGCAATAGGTCCAGCAGGTTGTAGTCGGCGAAGGAGATCTGGTCACCCACCAGGAAGGCCTGGCCCTCCTGGTTCTGGATCAGCAGGGTCTCAAAAGGCTTCAGGTGCTCCGGCAGCTCCTGAAAATACTTGGCCTTGCCCTCCTCGTAGCTCCGATAGATGAGCTGGCTGCAGTGCCTACAGATGTCCTCCACGCCATCGTGCCCCATGTCCACCAGTGCCACCTCCCGCTCGTCTTTGCCGTAGAGCCCAAAGGTGCGGCCCAGGTGTCGCAGGATGGCATTGGACTGGTACAGGGTGAGGTCTCCGTCCTGGAACTTGGGGAGCTGCCCATACAGACAGGAGGCCTTGAGCGGGCCCTGCAGCCAGCTCTCCTTGGTCACCACCTCCTCCTTCCAGCTCTGGCCCTGGTCAGCCAGCAGCATGTGCATGGCCTCGCAGCGCCCTCGGGTGGGGAAGTAGACGATGGTGTAGGGCGGCATAGGTCTCGGTGACGTGGAAGAGCAAGCAGGAGGCCGCCTGGTTTGGTTTTTTACACTGCCTTGAAGATGGTTGCTTCATAGAAGTGGGAAGAGGGGCAATGCAGTGTCCCTTCCCTAGTTTAAGGATGGCTTTTTACTTTCCAACACATGCACTATACCTTGTTGAGAAAATATCCCTGAAGAATACACCTATAGCTCAATTGTCTAAATAAATAATTTTTTCTAGAAAAGGCAGTGTTGAAGAAAGGCTAAGGAGAATCCTATCTCTACCTCTAAATGTTCATAGTAATGTAGACAGGGTTCTTCAAAGGCAATTTGAGTTTAGATAAGATTTTGCCTTTGTCTACATTGTCAGGGAGGAAGAAATTTTCTCTGCTCTTCAAAGTCCTTCTAGTTGGACTAAGAATCAAAATGACATGAGCCCTATTAGCAGGAGAAAATCGAATTTAATTTCATACATGAGAGAAATTCACACTGGCATGAAATTCCAGACAAGTAAAATGAAGTATTTTGTCATTCCTACCTTAGGAGATGGGGGTAGGTGTTTGGGACTTCAAAAGGAAGGAATGAAATTCACAGGAAGATGAAAAAGAGTAAATGTTTGGTAAATAAATGTTCACTGGGCCACACAGAAAAATTGGGACATAGGAGTTTTAACAAACAGATTTTGCTAAATTCCTCCTTGTTTACCCACCCATTCATATTATAATGTAGTTAACTGTGGTGAACAATCTTTTCCTGGAGTGGGTTCTTGACCTAAATTCTTTTTGGGCAGTTGAGGGAGAGGTAAAGAGCTTTTCCTGAATCTGCTGGGTTTTGTTTGCTTTTAACTCAAAATAATCTTCATGCCAAAGTGACTCATCATGGGGATGTCCTGCCCTTGGTCCTTACAACATACCCCATTATAATTTATTTGGTAATTTAGGGCAAACCTCACACATATTCAAATCATCATGGTAAGGCAGTCATGCTTTATAAAGCTTTTTCAGACTCTCAAGTAAGAATTATAAATCGTGATGTGATGAGCACTGGATGTTATATGTAAGTGATGAATCACTAAATTCTACACATGAAAGGAATTTTACCATATATATTCACTAACTAGAATTTAAATAAAAACTTGACATAAGAAAAAGAAATATAAATCTTAAAATCTTTGAAGAGGTGAATGAAGCTTTTTCCTCTTGGGGAAAATGGGAGTAGAGAAAATTCATTAAGACTGGTGACAGAAAAGTCATGGAGAAAGAAGTTACAATATAGCAAATCTTCACTACAACTTTAGAGAGAAAAAAATACCACAGCAAGATTCATTGGAGGCATTTCCTCTTTAAATGTCTTTTTTATAATTACTTAATTTTTATAGAGAGATTGCCAGATCCTTCCTAGAAATATAAACTGTCACATTTTATAAGTCTATAAATAATGAAATGCCCCTTTGTGGAAAATACTGTCCTATGAAATTTGAGAAGTCATAAATTGTGTTGTTTTCCAGAAGCTCTGAGGAAAAGGGAGTAGTTTGTACTAAATACTTTTGGTAGTAAGTAGACCTGGGGAAACTGGCTAGTTTTGAAGCAGCTCTGTTGTGTTCTTCCCAATGAGGAGCCAGGGAATTGAACTCCCTTTGCCTCAGGCTGTCTGTCAGCTCCATGTGGAAATGACATTATCTACTTCTAAGTATGTTTTGAAATTTATAGTCTACTAAGCACTAGGAATTCCTCAGAGAAAAGGTTATTCACTATGGCATCAGCATCTTAAGACAATATAGTGTTACTACTCTTAGGTCATTTTAATCTTTAAAAGAGTCTTCATTTTTGAAGTATGTTTCCAGTGCTGGCCCTTTAAAAAATATTTTTTTTATCAGATTGCCAAAAACAGCCATTCTATTCAGAATTTACAAAAAAAAAGTGTCAAAAAGCTGTGCTGTAGGATACCAATTGAACAGGGTGCTTGCATTCCCGCTGATAGTTTTAATATCATATAGGAAGATCCAAAATCATTTTTGGAATGACAAACATGATAGATTCTCTGAGTGAGTCCCCAGCGGCTTCAGAAATACAACCAACATGTTATCAAGTCATATTACCATTGGCTATTCGTGTGTGTGTGTGTGTGTGTGTGTGTGTGTGTGTATACATATTCTTTTATATTTCTTTTCAATATACTGTGAAGGAAAGAGTTAATAAAGAATAATATATTTGGACCCCAAACGACTTAACTTATATGTCAAATTGATCCTATTTTTAGTTTTTTCTAAAGTTTTTAAGTGTTACAGTTAAAATTGTGCCAATCAGCATGAAATTCTTTTGATGTGTCTGGAAGCTAATATTATAGAAACTAAAATTCAAAAATATGCAGTAGATAAGATTAACAATGTAATGTATATAATATAATATAATTAAGAATATAATGTATATAATATATATCAACTTCTGGATTTGGAGTATATCAAATCCCAGTTCTTTGGGGTGAAAACTAATTCAGAATAATATAAGGAAAAATGAAAACACTCTAAGTTGATTTTCAAGTTACTTTTTATTACTAATACAATTCTGATTTTCAGTATGCATCTTTCAAATACAGTCTTTTGGGATAAACACAGTTAGAAATGTCAGTCTAACTAGCAGGAGAACATAATCATTTTTAATAGAAAATTGTGGACAATGTAGATACTTCTACTTTGAACAGAAATCAAATGTGAAAATCTACTTTCTCTTTAAACATTTCTACAATTCATCTCTAATTATAATAACTGAGCCTGATACAATTGTTTATCCAAAGTTTCAATTCATTAATACATATATATGCTTGAGCCCTAATAGGGTGGCCCTCTTCAATGTGAGTGATGGTGCCAAAACATAAAAGAGACATATTCAGAAATAAATGGACTAGAACCTGTGCATTTATAAAACTCAAAATACTAGACAAAATCTAAGTCATTTTAATAGCGGACACTTCACATACATGCAATGATGTGACATTTAAACTCAATTTGGCGGAAAGGTGACAAATTAGTGTCCCTATGACTGGCATACTGTAACATTTTACGGCATGCTTTTTAATCCATGGTAAAACAGGAACTCTGTCTACCTATGTGATTACTACCTGTAGAAAAATATCTTCACAAATGTGGCATATATTTATAAGCAATGGCTCTTCTAAAGATGCTGTTTTGATCTTACAGATATAAGGTATTCTTACCCATAAGAATCAGATCTCGGTGTGGCAGGTCTTCTGTCTCAAACATTAGCTTGAATATAAGCAATCTAACTTTACTCATTTTTAAATAAACTGGAGATTCAATATCTACAATACATTTTGTAATGATTTGACCTTGGCACTTCTGCTTTTCAGAATTATATCTACAAATGACTTCTTGAAACATCAATTTCTAATAAAACTATGAGGTGTTCATTTCTTTGTGAGTGAAAAATGTACAACTTTCCTGCCATGTATTGTCTTTCTCTTGATGTCTAGAATAAATTCAGATAATGTCACACAAATGATAATTTTGATCTAGTACATTCAAAGAGGGAGATGGCTATTTTATTATAATAATATTTAAGTTTACAACGTCTGCTTTTCTTATTTTGAGCACAGTGAAATTTTAGTGAATGATCTAATATATATCAATTTCTGGAGTTGGAGTCTATTAAATCCTAGGAGTAATGGAAACAACTTCTAGCATTTATAAAAGAAAGCAATCAAATAGGATCTGCTCCTGCCAGGCAGTCTTTTCTGCTAAGTGACCCTTATCTAAAGACACTGACATCTAGAGTGATTCAGCCAATATAATAAAGTTTGAAGCAAGTAAGACTTTTTGTAGGGGATTCCTGAGAATTTGCTGACATACTGATCAATATGCCAGGCATTATTTTTTAAGATTCCATAGAAAGTCTTTGGAGTCAATAATTATATTTTATAATTTGAGAGAATTAACAGTATATAAATTTAAGGGATTTTAACAATATAACTTTAGAAGTATTTATCTTTTCTTTATAACTAAACAAATTAGTATCTGGTTGGGTCCATCAATAAAAGAACGCATAATTTCTTCAGATTTTTAATCTTCTACTTCCAAGGTAAGGGATCACTTAGACCCTGGAGTTTTTTTTTTTTCTTTTTTAAGTTTTATTCTGTGAAAGACACCATTATAATGATAAATTCAAGACTTAAAGAGTAAAACAAAGCCAAATAATCACATTAAAAAATCTAAGAAAAATTTGAATACTCAAAATATTTTTTATTTTAAAATGCTCTCAATTCTTGTTTATGATGTTAAATACTTTGAATTTCCTTGTACTGAATACTTTGTGGGTATGGCAGTAAAGAGCAGGTGTCTGATTGTCTCATGGTCATGCTAACAAAGCATGGGTCATGAAATTGACCAAGCAGCTGTTCAGCTTCCTTTGAACATCCTAATGATGGCTTTGTTTTCTGTAACTAAATAAATGGTCATGACCTACAATTGCATAATAACAGACACATCCATCTACCACTTCCTTAAATCCATTAACAATATTTTCTTCACATCAACCCTTCCTCCATGTAACACATAGCGCAAAACCTTTCTCCCAACGATTCCTTTTGGACCTTTAATTATACATGTAGTGACACGGATGACCTAACCCCCTCCTAAATTAATCCTGCATTTATATGATGAGCAACAAAAATGAATAATGCACCAAAGGCCATTCTACCAATGAGAGAATCTCAGAATGTCAGAGCTGTTAAGGATATAAGAGATTAAATAATCTGATTTTCTCATTTGACAAATGAGGACACCTGAACCCAGAATCTATTCCTGTCTCAGGCTGCTGGCTTTAAATAGATTAAAAATAAATTCTATACCTAAATCTTTCTATTACCCATACATTACACAATTTGCCTCAAAAGTCCTTCTGAATTGTATAATTATCTTTCTGTCAAATCTTTCTTTCTTTCTGAGAACACTTATATTTCAATTCTAAAAAACTGAATTTCATTGGACTTTTGATAATGTTTCAGAGAAATGTTTAAAATAACATCAAGGAAATCTTTTTTTATATAATTATCATTCAATGGCATGCTCTCATTGAAAACTTCTCCCACGTTATGTTCCTTGCTGTTCCTGCTAATGACAATTAGTGCATATTTCGTTAATTCCTTCCTAGACTAAGACACTTAGAAGAAAATAGTTAATTTCACTTTAAATGAGCAGTGTTTAGTTGCCTAGACTACCTCATATTAATGGAATAAATTGAATTAAGATTATGAATTAGATATGTGTCAGCACATCAATGCAGAAAGTGAATTTTTTCCTCAAAGAAATTCTCTATCATGAGCAGACAAGGAAGAGATCACTCACGTGTGCATATGTATACACACACACAAACTCAAATAAATGACTTCTGAGAACAAGCCAAGACCAAAAGTGAATCAAAATCTACTGGAAAAGTGAAACACCCTACAAAGGAATATTTTAAAAATTACTATTGTAGATGGCACAAGATCAGTTTTTCTAACATTCATGTTTGGTGCCTCCATCCCCTTGGGTGTGGGTTGTAGTTGCAATCAGCTATTGAAAGACAGTAATCAGACCTAGTTTCCATGGACATTATTTCAGAATCATTTCTGGAAGACTGCCTATAATATGCATATGGCAACTGTGAACCATATTGGGAGTTGGTGGACATATTATTATTAGGTAAAGATGCAACATTATACTCTTGCCTTGCAAATGCGCTCACATTCACCTTCTGGGCTTGAGGAACATAGGACAGTCTCTCGTTCCAATCCTCTGAGCGCCCTGGAAGCGCCTTCCTCCTAGCTGCTGAGACCACATTTGCCACAATGGATTCCTGGATGTTTCTGGGTTTAAAGGCATCATCCACTAGACCAAGAGGAGACTTCACTGCTGCAACCCAAGGAGTTAGTCTCTTGTTTGCCTTCTCTAGCTCATCCGTTGATTTGCTAGAGTAGTTATAAGCAGACTGGAATACCCAAGGAGATGTTGTGGAGATGGTGGGTGGGACTGGTCTTCCAGGAAGAGAAAGGGGGTGTCCAATCTGCTAGAAACAATGAAAATGTTAGTATATCTCATTCATTTGGGTTTGTGCTCATTGACTATTATTTCAGAGTAATCTTGGCAACATTACTGAGCACTGTAAAAATCAAACCCCCAAAATATTTAGTCCTAAAGCCAAGACAGGCTGCCTCTGCCTGGTGTATTATTAGCTCTGGCCTGGGACTTGGTCCTCACTTTGGACTTTCTTATTGCTCTTCATCTCTGAACCCATAGCCCCAGTCACTGCCATCTCTCTTGGGCACAACCCCCACCGCTGGGACTCTTATCACTGGGAGCCGCCCTTATCTGTCCTCCACATAGTCATATCTATATACACAGCCCACACTCATTCAGGTCCTATTTTCATGGTACAAAATAAACAAAACATATTGACTACCCCAGAAACAGACCATAAGCTACTGGGCTTTTTTCTTTTCCCAAGTGACTTTCAATCTGTTATCTTATTTTGGTCCACTGAATATAGCAAAATAAATAAATAATTAATTGATTTAAAAAAAATCCAAGAGCTACTTAGATGTATTTAATGTTGCTGATCTGAAGGAGTGGATGGACTTATTCTTCTCAAAATCTATTTTACATCGCTGAAGACCATGTGGATCTTCACTTCTTAAGCATGGGATATTACCCATGTCTCAGACAAACACTCCTGCCCCTTGTTTCATCTGAGATTTGCTTTTTTTTTTTTTAGTGTGTATTACATTCCTTACTTTTTTGAGATGTTGTGTCCCTGCAACATTCCCCTGTGTATGTGAAATGTTTGGTTTGTCAGTATGCAGAAATATAATTGACTGAAAGCTCTTGTATTCTCTCTCCTCTTGCCCCTTCTCTATTTCCAGGATCCCCGAAGACTAGTTATCTACATTACGTCCTCACACATTCCCATCTGCATGAAACTCTCTTAGACAAACTTCTGGCAAAAAGTAGCAAATATACAAATGAGTCAACTTTGAAAGTATTATAACATTGTGTGTTTCTGGAACAAAAAGCATGGCCATGCTTAAAAATGCGTCCAAATTTCATAAAGGGTTCCAACAGCTTTTCTTTCTTAACCAAGGCCTTAAATTTAAAGTGAATACCAACACCTGGATTTGACAAACTATCTTAGATTCAAATGGTTTGTTTTTGGTTTTCCGTTAGACACAAAAAGAAGGTAGGTGGTCCATTCTTGGCTTGCATATCAAGAATTAATTAGGGGGTCAATATACTGAATCTTGCCTCTCTCTTTTTTATCATTAAAATTTCAGTAATAATTGTTGAGTCCTAACAAATGTTTTCATTAATCTCTTTATCCTAATCTAGATCTAATACTAAGTTCTCTGGACGATATAATCAAGGAGGGGAGAAAAGCCTAATTTTAGTTACCACTTTGGACTTGATTTCTATTTCTCATTATTTATTCATTGGTTTCATTCATTTAACAAAAATTTTATTGAACACCTAATACTTCCCAGGCACACTCATTGTAGTCTGCAAATACAAAGATGATTTAAATGAAGTCCTTGCCCTCAAGAAACATGTAACACAGTACCGTTGTTAGCTTTGCAGGGGCAAGTTAATCAATCATGGAAGGTCACTTTAGAGACTCTTTACCTATCTTGACAGGATCAATAGGGAATTTTCTAAACTGTGAGAAGTATTAACATTCAATATGATAAAGTCTATCAGCTAGATAGACTAGCTAGACTAGCTAAGGCATAAATGTTAATCAGTTGAATATGTGAGTAAAAAGTAGAATTATGAAGTATGATATTGAAAGAGTAAGACTCTGAGGAAAAAAAAATTTTTGAGGAAAAATTTTAAATAGCATCAAAGTTAAAAAAAAAAAATCTCCTGTAGAATAACAAATAGGCCAAATATAGTAGCAGTACTGGCTGTGAAGGAAGAGAGCAATTACCTCAATGAACAAAATGACTATTGCTCTCCTACAGATTCCTCAGACCGCCAAACATGCCTTCATATTCCTTTAGTGCTAACAATAGTACATAAACTTACAAACTGTCAGAGATGAGAGATGCAAATGTGATATAAATAAATAGTTCTTTAGGTATGTTGTTTCTGTTTGTGCCCAAAATATCACAGGCTTCTGGTCCCTGCCTGCACTCAAACCCCTAATTTTAACGTATTTCCCCAAAGCAATTTTCACATCTTGTTCTTTGGTGCTATTTCCTTCTGTCATTCTCCGTCCCAAGGCTCATGCTGTTCTCTGCTTGGCCAGCTAAACGAAGCCACGTGATAGACCCTGAGTCAGAGATGACCAAAGGGATCTGAAAATAACAGAGGTGTTTCTTCTATTTTGGAGTTTGAATGTCTGATGGTAGAATCCTAGCATATCATGGGTTAGATCCTTGGTTCTTGTTTCCACCATGGGTTGTATTAGTATCTAAAGAATTTAAATTTTTGACATGTGAGCACTTAACTATAACCAGTATGTTAAATTAGCATTACATACGATGTGTCATCAAATTGCTTTTCTTTTTGTTTCCCGCCACCCTTTCATTTTTTTAATGAAAGAAGTTTTTCCACTGTCACTAGATGAAAACTTAGTAGGTCCTGTGGCACTCTGCTTTCTTTTAGGAATAGTCCTGTGGTCACTTTAAGTTACCCAAACTAGTTTATTTCAAAATAGAATATTCCATCCCTTGCAGTAACCAACTCCAGTCTCAAGAGTTAAATCTCTTCTCCCTGGGTCCTGTTTCAGGAAGATCCTCTTCCTTCAGGGAAGGCACTGTGGTTGGCTTCTTTATGCTTTCTTTCCTCTCTTCCCTCAGCTTGCTAACTGGGACTTCGGGCTCCCTGGGCTTAGAGTACAAGGATGGAGAAGAGACAAAGAGCAGAGGGGGATTTTTACTTGATTTGGTAACATCATATTCTGGCTTTTCACTCTCAGAGCCAGGTAGGCCCAGACAAGGAAACTTTCACGGGATCTTTGAAGATTCCTATCACTGGGGACATTTTGCTTGTAGTCCTCAATTCATGCCAAGTCATCCCTATTCTCATGGGTAACTTGTGACTTACTCTGCACCCCCAAGGAAGCTGAAGCTATGAGACGGTCTATTTGAAGAGGCCTCAAGACAACCCCATCCAGCTCTCCTTTTCTTCTGGCCTGCTGTGGTCCATGGGGAACACACATCATTTGCCTTTGGGATGATAGCAGCAGATTTCCCGGTTCTTTGCCAAAACAATTTGTCAGCCCATGTCTCACCTTCCAGATTTCTTGAGAGAGTGTCAGACCCCAATCCCCTCTGCCTTCCTGTCCTTCCCCCTGCAGACATATCAAGCTCTCTCAGAAGCTATTTAAAAAAAATTTTTTTTTTTTTTGAGACAGAGAGAGAGTGCAAGCAGGGTGGGGCAGAGGGGGAGAGAGAATCTCAAGCAGACTCCACGCCTAGGACACAGCCTGACGTGGGGTTCGATCGCACAACTCTGAGATCATGACCTGAGTCAAGAGTTGGACTCTGAACCAACTGAGCCACTCAGGTGCCCCTCTAAGAAGCTACTTTGAAACTCTTCTCTCACAGGGGTGGAGGTGAGGGGGTAGGACCCTACTCCAAACCCAAACCCCGTGATCTGTGGCATCCAGAATTCTTCCTCAAGAAATCCTCTCTTCTTGCCGTCCTCTGATAACCTTTTAATAACCTAGATCTGACTGGGGGTGGGTTCCAGCAGGAGTGGCTCCCTGCTGTGATCTTTGTAGAGTCTGGAGTTTTGTCTGAAATCAGACTTTAGTGTGCAGCATCTGTGATATCTGAGGGCCTCGGGGTACCTTTCGCTTTAATATCCTGTCATGTAACATTACTATTTTCAGAACACTAAGGCCTTTCTCTCATTTTTCTTTTAAAAATGAAATATAGTCTAAAAATAAAAATGATGAATTTCAAGAAATTCAAATAGTCAAGATTTGAAACCTTATATTTCACTCAGGCCTTGCTCTAGAGAAGGGGGCTCACTTGGGTTTTCAGGTCATCTTGGTCAATCCTTAGGCTTTAACTGTTAAGAACTTCCTCCTCACATTGAACCAAACTTTGCCTCCCATACTTTTACCCCAGGGATCCTAATAACATAAAATACAACTACTTCCACTTCTATATGCCTTTTCTTCACATATTCCCAGTTGCTTCCATACTCTTTGGACACCTTCACCGTCCCATTGCTATCCCTCATTTTCAAACTCAGGAGAAATAACATCTACGGTGGTCATTCTCTCAAGTCTTCTGCATCCTTCTTCCTCAGTTTGTTAGGTAAGGCTAATGCAGATATACCATCTTGATCTTCTTAAGTAGATGTATACACATAAACACAAACACCGAAAACAAAACAACAAAGACATCATTCAAACTGACTTGGGGGCTTGTCATCTGGCAGATGGCACAGTTCATATTGCATGTAGAACATTCGGTCTGTGTGTATTTAGAGTCATGTGTCCTTTAAGTGTTCAGTGCAGGAAAGTACATGCTAATCTTCAGCCAGTCCGATATGATGGCTGCAGCAACAGCTGCAAAGAACTGAACTCACGAATCACCTGGTGTTATATGTTCCCACCAAAGGCTAAACCCAGAGGAGCCATTTTCCTACCTCTGCCTTTAATAATAGCCAACACTGACAGCTCATACCGTGTGCCAAGTGGTGGCTACTAATTGCCTTACATAGAGCATTTCATATAATTCTCAAAACAAGCCTGTGAAGTAGGGCCTATTATTGTCCCTATTTTCAAAGACAAAGACAAGGACAGTGAGACTTAAAGATGGTAAGTAACAAGAAAGAAAGAGAGAAAGAAACCTCCCTAAAGGTAGAAAGCTAGTAAGTACTGGAGTGGGGAAGTTGGCCACACACGCTTTCACACCAGAGTTCTTAGTCAAATATTAGACTGTACTTGTAATGAAATTGCTTTGAGGAAAAAGTCTTTAAAAAAAAAAAAAGATTCAAATCCAAGCAAGCTAAATGAAATGAGATCTTAGAAATTTTGGAAAGAATCACTTAAATTTT